CCCCCCCCCCCCTTTTTTTTTTCTCAAAAGGAAAAAAATCCAAAACCCCCCTTCAAAAAAAAAGTATAGTATGCCTAATAATAAACAACGCCGCAAAATGGCATAAATCTAGAAAGATAGTAATAGCCCGAGCTTGAGACAGGATAAATTACAACTACAACTACATTCCTATTTCATAAAGATCTTTTACCTCTTTCACTAAAGAATTACAAATCCCAATTTAACCACCTCAGCAGACCTACCAAAATGATGTATTCACAACTCCATCGCAATATGACCAAACAGGCCTTAATACCTAGTCTTTTGTCATAGGTAACTGACAAAATCATAAAAAGATATTTAAAATGCAATTATCAAACACTGAAGGGTAAATGCAAACTACAACATAGCAGTAATGAGAACAAAATCATAAAAGGGTGATGGGGAACAAATCATGAGATACTTGGCCAAGTCAAAAGAAAAACAGTTGCCAAAAAGGGTGCTCATCTCCTTGTCACTCTAAGGGTCTAGTACAGAGATATTTGAGACTAAAATGCAACCAAATTCTTCGACTTCCCAGTGCAAAATTTTATGCTTATCATTACAACAATTTTTCCTTTTGATAAACAATAGCTAAATGCCCACAGTGTAATAATAACTTCACAACATTGGATTTCTGTTTTGTTGTGCGTGCGTGTGTGGAGGGGAACGGGGGTTGGGGTTGGGGTTGAGTGATATCACCATTTAATTTTCAGATGATAATCATGCATAATAACCAACACAGAAGTTTCAAAGAGTATAATTTTGCAAAGTGATTAAAGATATTGACAAACAATACAACAAATGCTTGAATAGGCATCATCAACACAAATAGATGCCTCACCAAGAATGCTCCAAGAGCCAGAAGGCAAAGAGCGAACTAGCAAGTTGGCAGCATGGGGGTCACAATGCACAAACCCATGTTTGAACATCATTTCAGCAAAAGTTTGACTAACCTGCATATAAATGCAACTTCTCTCCTTATTACTGAACAACAAAAGCATCAAATTTCCATGCAAAAACCAAAACATTAAATAGTCGCATGCCCATGAAATTTGCATTATAAAATACAAAGGTTGAATGACTGGCAATAGAAAGGCACCACTAAACAAGCCTATAAAAGGATTCTAGGCCAGTTTTTGACCAAACGGCATAGTCCTAGCATTCAAATAACTATTTCACCGGGAATATGTTTCCATCAAAATAAATCCTATCAGCATATACATTTACATAATATGAAGCTGATGAACTTACTAATTTTGCAACATCGCTTGGCTGGATTCCAAGTCTTTGAATAGCCTTCACATCATTTATATGCACACCTTCCATAAATTCCATGGTTAACAGTTTTGAGGTACTTAAATTCCAGTATACCCTTGGGGCATATACATAGTCTGCAATACGAGGAGATAACTTCTGAAAGTTATCCATACATTTTACACTGTTCTTGGCCTCAATTAAGAAATCTAGTTCCTGATAGCCACCATTACAACTTATCAAGATTAAGTTCATACACTATAGACAGCTTACTGTATCAATGAAAAATACACGAATGTGCGGAATAATAACAACAGTAGAGCACTATAATGCATGATCAGTTTAGAAACAGTCAGAAACCACAACTTCAACACAAAAAAGGCATATTAAGAAAATAACAATTAGTAATATAATTAATTAATTATATTTGATTATAATTATAGAAGCAAGACGACGAGAACAAAAACTACAACAATGGTACTGACAATTATAACAATAGTGACGACAACTCAAAAATAATTCGAGTTTATGGGAAGAACAGTCAGCTTGCTTGCAGTTTATCTATAGAAGCCAGGATATGCATATGATGCCCTAACATCACTCTAAATGTCTATCATCATATATAAATCCACAAGCATATGAGTTTATCATCATGTATTATGTGGTTTATGATCAATCCTAGTAAAGTTGCAACCCTTATTCACAAGGATATCTATTTTTACTGCCCCAAATTTTCAACAAGTTACTAAAAAGTTCATTTAATAACTTCGACAGATTAAAGTTGGGGGCATGGAGAGTAACAAGACCTCGTGCACTGGCTGCCATTTAATTTTACCAGATTAGGCAAACATTTAAACCATAGGCCAGGGTTCACACACAAAAGTTAGACAAACATTTTACCAAATTTGAGAGGAATCCCAATGGTAATCAGAACTTGGCTGTTTCAAGATGCTTTAGCCACATTTCTTATTCACAATATATACTCCTTTAAGAGAGGAAATAACAGCGACATAAAACAAACAAGCGATATGTAAAGCAAATTCTTAACCAGTTCTCTATATTTCCTTTAATAATTCAACATAAAAAGATGTAGAAGTACAGATTACAAATCCAAGGTTGCAACTCTGACCAAGTTGTTGTCTAAGGAAAAATAGTCTGAAGGTTTATATGAATTTTAAGAAGGTCCGAACAAAGTAGAGTTCAAAAACATGAGGAACATTTCGGCATATGCAGACCCAATTCATGCAATCATCAAAATACGCCATGTAAAATCGCACTGCAGGAATACAAGTGCCTTATGCAAAAATACACTATGACATAAGCTTGATTTAGAGAGTAACTTATGCAGGTTCAGAAAGCAGTGACGTCTCATGAAAAAGTAATGCAAACAATTTAGTTTATTAAAAAAAAAGGCAGTAGTAGCAAAACTTGGCAGAGTTTCAGCAACTAGCCTTAGGCAAACTTTCATGGACTTCATCAACCAGCCACCTACGTTGAGAATCCAAGAAAAAATTGTGTTAACATTAAATGAATCAAAACTGCTAATTACTCCAACTCCAACGTACAGACTCATCCCATTAGGCAAAAAAAAGGGGGGGGGTGTACGCTAGGAAATATAATTACATTTGATAAGGACGTGCATCAAAATGGACAGGGGGGGCACATGCTCCTTAACAAATGTACTTGTATTTCTAAGCATGCGCAGGGGTAGAGGTATAGGCATATTATCCGTGTTAGACAGACAAAACCTATGGTGCATTGAAATGGACAGGGGTCACGATGTAACAACTTTATGGTCATTTTTTTGATGACATGGGCTAGAATTTTCTTGACTAAGTGTTGGTGTAAAACACATGCCCAACAAGGACAAGGATCCCCTACAATGTCCAAGCTACTTAACATATGAGATGTATATAAGCATTAAACACATAACATGTATATATGCAGTGTAAATGTTCACACTATTACCAACGTAGCCACCTTCATATCCAAAGCATAGGACAATAATGAACATGAGAAACAAAAAGATGTATACCTATAATCAAAAGAAGGAAATAACCAATGCAATGTGTTCACAATTAACTCTACGGTAGCATAATCTGCAGCAGCAGTATCTGTCATGTGAGCATGCTGGACCTGTAATTGAGAAAATATTGGACAGAAGAAGGGAATCCTTATAAGTCACAAATATTTCTGATCTGTATGTAGTTGCTTAAAATCATAATTAAAATTTCTAATTGGAACCTTCACAGCAACTTTTTGACCATCACGGGTCCGAGCAATGTGAACTTGCGCAAGGGAAGCGCTAGCTATTGGGACAGGATCAAACTCATCAAAAACCTACAAATGAGAAGGCTTGACTTAGTTTATTTGTTTGACTGACGAAACGAGATAGACAAAAGGAGGGCAGGTACAGCTACACGTAGACATAGAAGATCAAAACTAAGAAAACCTCAATGACATCTAGGAATAATTCAACAAAATGATACATACGTCATCAGGCGCCCCTCCAAGCTCTCTCTTGACAACTTCACAAACTTGATCATATGATGATACTGGACATCTATTCAACATGGATTCCCTCATTATCTGGACATACTCTTGAGGTACTAAGTACTCCTGTACAACGGATAATAGAAGTGTTATATGTGATGAATTATAGTGCAGCTTAACAAGTATCCAAGAAAGTAACCAAAGGATACCAGCTGACTAATATGTTGACCAAGCTTGATATATATTCCACCATTTTGAAAACATAGTTCCTGAAGCCTACATGCGCCCCTGATGTGAACTTCATGCTTAGCTCTTGATCTCTCAATGCTACCTTCTGGCAATCCCCACAACGAATATTCGTAATCTGAAAGCATTAACAATTTGGAACACTCTGAGAAAAAAACTCTTGATTTCCTATATCATAGGAGTTCCATATCTAACCACATGGCCAGAATATTTGTGCAAGTATTATGTTTTTCGTGAGTAAAATAGGGGAGCTTGGCATATGATAAAAACAACATGGAATCTCAATTTGCATTATAAAAGCTTGTGCTCACACAAGCCTTGCCGACTCCTATATCCACTTCAATTTCCAGTATACAACTCATCCAGACTACCTACTTCTATCTTTGTCAATTTAGTAAGTTTTTATACCCTAAACTTTATAAATTTGGATATGTGAGCACCAGATTTCTCAAAAGACTGAGTTTAATGCCATCATAAAGTTCCGAATCTTCATCAAATTACTTAATTCATATTACCCAAAGCAAGTTAACCAAAAAATGACCAGTTGGAAATCTCTATAAGATCTTCAAATTTTTGGATTTTCCAAGAGTTGTATTTTAGATCAAATTGACCCAAAGTACAACTTCAAGATAACATAGAACCTTAAATCTGATTGCATTATGCTAATTCAAATGGGATTAATTTTGACAATTTAAAAAATGTGTGCATTTCATTGCCTTACAAACCCCGAGAACCATACACCTGCCTCACAACCATACAAACCCTAAATTTCCAATAATTTGCACCAAGATTTAGCTTCAGAGAAACTGATGACAATCAGCCTCAAAACGACTTCTAACGGTCCCAATCCTGATGTCCTCACTGAGAAGAGATCTACAACCTCCTAATGAATGCGGATTTGCTATATAATATATCTGATACTGGTGAAGACTATACCTTCTGTTAAAGAAGATACTTACAATCTTCTGATTCATTCTCCGTGGATCTTCTCCCAGAGAATTGAAGGAACCACGTTCACCAAGCACATTTTCTTAATCAATTGTACATCTATGTTAACATTGAAGCCAGAAGGAGTCAAACATTAAAAACCTTCCAAACTCTAAATTTCTTCCATCCCATCTTTAGCACCATTTTACGATATGATACTAACTCGACACAACAAGCCTTAATCTCAACTATTTTGGGTCGGCTAAACGAGGATATTAACTAGATTCTAAATTTCGTTGTACAGACATTCGATCAAAGAAGCCAACTGTCTTCATCTTCATAATATTAATTACGACACTCTTGCCCTTTGTTCCATCTCTTTGAAAAGTAAAAATCCACTACTAAGCATCAAAGTTTAGAAACTCATCCACGCCATAATTGCATTAAATTCTCAGCCGAAACAACATGTAGAAACAATTGAAAAATGCAGAAGAGAGAGAGTTCGAGATCTGGGGAGAGAGGTACCGTAGGCAATGGAGGCGGCAGTGGCGGAGACGCGCAGGAGGCGAACAGGGACGGTGGTGCAGAGCTTGAGGGCTGTCCCGGGGTCGTCCGAGTTGGCAATCGCCGCCGCCCCAGCTCCGCCGCCCAAGGCCGTCGCCGCTGACAATAGCTTAATTTTGCCGCGCCACAGAAATCGCGCGACCATCTCTCTCACTCGCGAAAACACTAGAATTGTACGTACCCTTTTGGGGGTTTTCTCTAGCCCGCTATTTCTATGCCTTGTCTGGTTGGTTGTACCAAAAGCATAGGCGACTTGGCTTTAATTAGTGTCCGTAGCCAATATTGTCTCAAACTACAAATCGTGGACATACCCAGAAAAAAAACTACAAATCGTGGCAAGTGTGCAAATATATTAATCAAGAACGATGTAGATTTGATATTTTTATTTGGAGTAGTTTACGTTACTAAAAAAATAATAATTTGGGTATCGTACTACCATTTATAGCTTTTGTTAGTATTTTTATAATTTTTGTAGATATTTTTAATATTTTTTTGTAATAACTTACAATTCGATCGAAAGTTATCACAAAAAAATGATAAAAATAATTATCACAAAATTATTAAAAATATTCATAAAAGTTGTAAAAATATCTTGAAAAATTATAAATTACTCATAAAAAATATATATTCTTAGTTATAAAATAACCCATAAAAATTATAAAAAATACCCATTAAAGTTATAAAATTTGAAAGTACAGTATCAAGTATCATAATCTTTTTCTTTTTATTTAGTGGCACTCACATTTTGACCAAAATTTCGCTTCATTTGCCACATAAATGGAAACAAAATAATGATTTATTATCGAAATTATTATATATGAAAGTATTTCAAGGATATATTTTGGTATATTTGGCAATAAATTTTTAATTTTTAATTTGTTTTAATTTTATTTTTAAAATATATTTGTTTAGGTGACCGCAATAATAAATCAATTTTTTTTTTAATCATTGAATATCATATAAGGTGAACAGAAAAATTATGTTAAAAATTAAAAATCTAATGTGAGTTTTTATGAAAATTTGAATCTTAAGTTGATTATTGTTCATTCCCCCCTCCACCATCCCACATAACCAAAACCCATAACCCATCTCCCAACCACCACTTCTAGGGACGGAGCTAGCCCTTGACTCAAGGTTGCCAACACACCCAATTGTACATATATTAAGCACAGAACAAGCTGTACATTGTTAAGAGAATTGGCCACCTACTCATAACAAGCTGTGCATCGGGTCATCTTCTGCCAAACCAAAAAACCAAAAAACCAAAAAACCAAAAAAATATATATATTTATATATAATATAAAACATGACATACTTCAATAAACTTATTCGACAGTATTAAATAAACTCGTTTAATCGCCACTAACATTTTACCAAAATCATTTACGTTACACCATAGTTTAACATTTATATTATATCGTACCATCCAGCACCGATTACCCCTAGTGTGTGTGTATATATATATATTCCCAAATTGATACACAATTGTAATAATGGATAAGGGATATCATTTTTCGAACATACAAGCTCTAACAACTGATAACAATGCACCTGTAGTCCAAAATGAAGAATCAGCCTTTATTGGAGAGCAGAGATCATGCTGCAAATTATAAAAGTAGACACAAAATAAGCAAATTCAACCACTTTAGCCAAAGAATTATGTGCATCTATTAATGAGGAAATGGGAATGTGGGCACGAACGTTGAGATAAGGAGGATTGCCTTTGATACCAACTTCGACATGTCGGACTGTATTTTGCAGAAGAAGAGCTTGGTGGGTACATTTGGGGGCAGAGTGATGTAGATATTATTACCTCGTCCAGCGTTTGATCCCACTCGAAAACCTTCTGACCTGAACAAATGATTCACCCACCGTTTAAAAAAAGAATGAACACCCATATATATGTACTCAAGAACAATTTGTCTCAACGATTCGACGAATCGAATGGAACCGTTATGAAATAAGTTGTGGCGTTTCTCGGGTGCCAGTTTCTCCGCCATTTTTCTAGGTGATTGTCAATTTGCATTGTGATTGTGGAATGCTCTTTCTGAGTTTTCGGTTAATTACAAAGGATTGAATCATCGGCTTAAATCTCAAGCTACGGGTGGGGTGTAAATATTTAATGTTCAGAAAAAATAGATCATATAGTCTGAATTTTGGAAAATGTTTGGCGAATTACACTTTGTATCTTTATTTTTTAAAATTTTAATTTAAAATCTCAAAAATTAAAATTTTTATATTGCACAGAAATTTTATGTCCTTTTATCAATATGTTTGGTTTGGTAAAAAAAAAAAAAGGAGGAAGGGACGGGAACTTATTATTCTCTCCCCCCCTTTTTATTTGCCCTAAAAGAATAAAAAAAAATTAATACTTATAATTTGCCGGTAATTATATGTATCAGAGTTTTATTCACGTAGAAATGAGTCTAAAGTAACTCTAAATATTATTTGTAATAAAAAAATATAGAAAAAATATTTTATAAATTTTTTAGGATTAATTGCACTAGAGATTCTCAAAATATGAGGTTTGTCTCATTTTAGTTTCTAGTGTTTCAATTACATCATTTTAGTCCTTGAAGTATTGAATATGTTTCTATATGGTCCCTCAAACAGATAGTGTCTAAATTACTAACGATTTTTTATCATAAACTTGTCACATAATATCTAAATATAGACAAAAAAATAATTTTAATAGCTCTTAAACAAAATTTGGGTAACTCTTAACAAAAAAATATGTAATATAGATAGTTTTTGACCAAAATTTGGATAGTTCGTAATCAAAACTGTGTAATTTAGGTAGCTGTTTAACAAAAATTGAATAAAAATTTGGTCAAGAGTTATTTAAATTATTTTTTTGTCCATATTTAAATATTACGTGACAAGTTTATGAGAAAAAATTGTTAGCAATCTGGACGTTGTCTGCTTGAAGGACCATATAGAAACATATTTAATACTTCAAGGATCAAAATGATGCATTTGAAACACTGGGAAACAAAATGAGATAAATTTCATATTTTAAGGACCTTTAGTGCAATTAACCCAAATTTTTATTTACATTCTAAAATATTAAATTTTTTAAATTAAGAAAAACTACAGTAATGTGGTCTAAAATCAAACGTTCTCTCTTTATTTTTTTAATAATAGTTTTGCTATATTTTTTTATTCTTATATTCTATCATTGTGCATTACTTAAATTTATGTATTTTAAATTAAAAATTTTATTAAAACAAACCACAAAATTTTTGTGTGAACAGATTTAGCTATTATATACAGGGTTTTTATAATTTATTGATTTTAGTCCATTAACTATGAGGGAGTGTTGTGTAATTTTCGAAGGACAGAGAGGTAATCTGCAAATTACAAGGAGGTAAAGTGAATTTTTTCCCTAAAATCAATGATAATTTTGCTTTTTCAAAGTAAAACATAAATAGAAAAAAAGGAAAAAAGAAAAAAAGAAAATTGTTGTTGTTTTGAGCATTTTATCCACGGCGTCGTTTTTGTCCTTTGCCGGTTTGTCGGTGCCTGTTGAGAAAGAACCAGAGAGCGCTATCGTGGTGCTCTTCTACATACTTCAGCTGAACTGCCGAAGTAACGAGAGAGAGCGAGAGAGGGGGGAAAGTGAAAGGAAGAGAGAAGATGAGATACAATTTCGATTTTTCTGAACCGAACAATGATGAACGACCAAAAACCCTAACATCTACATCTAAAGACCAGGTGGAATGGCTTCCCCTTCAGAATCACCCCGTCTTCACATCCGGCACCGGCGACGATGGTTCGGGTCATTCATCAACTCGTCAAATGCCGAGGAATCTCATGGCTTGGGACGGAGCCTCTTCTCGCCTGTATTATTGGAACCCTGATAAAAAGTTCCTTCATCGGATCTCCATTCGGTTGGGCGAACCCGATCCTACCTCTGTTCTAGCTGCCTCCCCCTCTAAGGTGTCTCTCTCTCTCTCTCTCACACACACACACACTCACTCTCACACTCACTCACACACATACATATGGGCTAGGGGTGATAATTACGATATTGTTTGATGACAAATTGTCCGTGAAAANTATGTAATATAGATAGTTTTTGACCAAAATTTGGATAGTTCGTAATCAAAACTGTGTAATTTAGGTAGCTGTTTAACAAAAATTGAATAAAAATTTGGTCAAGAGTTATTTAAATTATTTTTTTGTCCATATTTAAATATTACGTGACAAGTTTATGAGAAAAAATTGTTAGCAATCTGGACGTTGTCTGCTTGAAGGACCATATAGAAACATATTTAATACTTCAAGGATCAAAATGATGCATTTGAAACACTGGGAAACAAAATGAGATAAATTTCATATTTTAAGGACCTTTAGTGCAATTAACCCAAATTTTTATTTACATTCTAAAATATTAAATTTTTTAAATTAAGAAAAACTACAGTAATGTGGTCTAAAATCAAACGTTCTCTCTTTATTTTTTTAATAATAGTTTTGCTATATTTTTTTATTCTTATATTCTATCATTGTGCATTACTTAAATTTATGTATTTTAAATTAAAAATTTTATTAAAACAAACCACAAAATTTTTGTGTGAACAGATTTAGCTATTATATACAGGGTTTTTATAATTTATTGATTTTAGTCCATTAACTATGAGGGAGTGTTGTGTAATTTTCGAAGGACAGAGAGGTAATCTGCAAATTACAAGGAGGTAAAGTGAATTTTTTCCCTAAAATCAATGATAATTTTGCTTTTTCAAAGTAAAACATAAATAGAAAAAAAGGAAAAAAGAAAAAAAGAAAATTGTTGTTGTTTTGAGCATTTTATCCACGGCGTCGTTTTTGTCCTTTGCCGGTTTGTCGGTGCCTGTTGAGAAAGAACCAGAGAGCGCTATCGTGGTGCTCTTCTACATACTTCAGCTGAACTGCCGAAGTAACGAGAGAGAGCGAGAGAGGGGGGAAAGTGAAAGGAAGAGAGAAGATGAGATACAATTTCGATTTTTCTGAACCGAACAATGATGAACGACCAAAAACCCTAACATCTACATCTAAAGACCAGGTGGAATGGCTTCCCCTTCAGAATCACCCCGTCTTCACATCCGGCACCGGCGACGATGGTTCGGGTCATTCATCAACTCGTCAAATGCCGAGGAATCTCATGGCTTGGGACGGAGCCTCTTCTCGCCTGTATTATTGGAACCCTGATAAAAAGTTCCTTCATCGGATCTCCATTCGGTTGGGCGAACCCGATCCTACCTCTGTTCTAGCTGCCTCCCCCTCTAAGGTGTCTCTCTCTCTCTCTCTCACACACACACACACTCACTCTCACACTCACTCACACACATACATATGGGCTAGGGGTGATAATTACGATATTGTTTGATGACAAATTGTCCGTGAAAAGGCATGTTTCTACTGCATTCTCATTCTTGTTAGTTAATTTACTGATCTGGAGAATGATTTGGAGGAGGAGAGGCTAGATGTGGAGCTTTGGTTGTTTTTCTGTCGTAGGTTGGTGGTGTGTTGGAGGGTGGGGATTGGTTTTGTTCGGCCTTGGCATTCGTATTCTCGTGTGTGGCTGTGTTGGTTACCCTGCGGAGGGGAGAGAAAAGAAAAGAGGGAGGGGTTTGTAAGAGAGAAACAACTTAGTGGTGAAAAGTTGAAAATTACCTTTTTTTCCCAACCAATACCTATATGCTGAAAACATGTGATGTTCAAAATTTGTAGGATGATTACCGATGGATCACCATGGGAGCAGGATGATACTTTAGCGTTGAAAAGTGTGATTAATCATTATTTCTTCGGGTCTAAACTTGATTCATGTTTGTAGCCTCCATAAACTACAGCTACTATTTATGATACTCATTGCACTTGCACCAGCCACCAGCTACCAGCTACATTGTTCAATCACTCGAAAGGAAGTCATGGTTAGGATGTATTGTTGGCTTTATGGAGCATATGGGTATTTGATAGTGGATTAATGAAATGGGATTCACAAAACCTGCCCCATATTTTTTGGAACTTTGAATATATTAACGTGTATTGAGTACTTATGCTATTCGTTTCTTGTTTACTCTTCCTTTTTTATTTTCTGTATTTGATTATAAATGGATGGTAAGTTCCTTGAAACCATTTTAAGCAAAGAATAGTAATTGTTTTTCCCTTATGACATTCAAATTCTCTAGCTGCACTTTTTTTTTGGGCTTTCTAAATGTTTTTGAAGCAGCAATGCAAGAAACAAGAGAATTGATGAAGACTATTGGACCTTTTATAGCTTGTGAAGTCTGATTGTGTTCTTCTCCTTTCTTTTTCTCTCGGTTTTTTAAGGTTTTTACTTACTCAGCTGTGCATGAATAGTTATAGTATTTGCTTTGAAGTATATAGTTGATGATTCTAGTTGCTTTGTAGGTGTTGCAAGCAGATACAAACCTTAGCTTTTTGGTCAACAAGATTTCCATTAATAGAAATGGATCAGCTTTACTACTAGCTGGCTCTGAGGGTCTTTGTGTCATGTACCTTTATGAACGTTCCTCCATGAAAGATAATATCATGATTTGCAGGTGTGCACCAATTGGACTAATCCTCATTAGTTCCTGATGTTCCCTTTTTGTTTCTACTTGAATAACCTATTCATGTGCTATGTGCATGCTCTCCTTATCAATCTTTGATCTTCTTGGCGATTAGAATATCGATACTATCCAAATTGCAAAAACGGTTTTTGATTTACTTTTCTTATGGGTAGATGTGTTTCTGTAGTTTGACAGGAAGGATGTGCTGGTTAACCTTGAAAACAATTTAGTTTTATTGAATAACTGAAAATATACCCTTTCTGTTGTAATCATACTCAAGCTTGATCTGGAAGCTCATATGTGTTCATGGTACAAGATGGTTAGTCTCCAATAAATTGTCCTCAAATGGTATTGTATGTGATTGTATCAACCTGTATGTATCATAATGCAGAAACAAGTTCCTTGCTTTCTCAAAATACACACACATTGTCACCTTGTTGTCTTCTTTGTTAGTTACACTGACTTAAAGATACTCATGGTGCTATATTTTTTTTGTGAACATGACTACAGGACTGTATCAATTGGCTCTGATATCTACTTTACCAGAAATGATGTCATACGCACATTACAGATCTCTTGGCATCCCTACAGTGACACCCACTTGGGAATACTTTCTTCTGATTCAGTTTTCAGGTATCATTCATGAGAGTTGCTTTTTTAGTAATGGCCCGTGTTATGTGGACTTAGATATGCATCTGGGTGTGGGTATATTTCTAATTTTACCTTATTGATCCATTGGTTTAAAATAGATGGGAATCCCCTTTTTCTGATCAAATTATCATTTGTTGAAGGGTAATCTTATGAACATAGCAGACTCCACTGGCATGAGTCTTTTCATATTATTTATTGAAAAAAGAAGCTTGCCTTGTTTTTATTTCTTGAGCACATCCAATGCTTTGGCATTGAGGTAATTCGAGTTACTCATTTCTTGATCAATTAATCTTACTACATCTTGTCATGGGTCTCTTTTTTGGTGTCTGATAGACATGGCTATAGCTTATAAAGAGATTAGTTGATCTCCCATTCTGAGTACTTTGTTGCATAGAACACCAATTTTGGGCCAGGAAAGAGATTTTTTTTTTAATAAATTATGAGTATTTGTTTTGTCCTTGTGTCTTTGAATTTGGGGATTAGATGTAACTGATGTGTAGGCACGTACACAGTCGACACTTGTATCTGATTCTATGTAGCATTGTATCTTGTCATCTTTAGATATCAATAAATGATACTTCTTTTTTTAATAGGAAATCAATAAATGATACTATTTATTTTGAGTGATTGACATACTCTATTTTTTTAGACTTTTTGATTTGTCTACAGCTCTCGGACAACCGGAACAGGAATATTACTTACAGCCTATTGAACCTGGTAGATTGCAGAATGCTTCATCAATATGCCCTGTTGATTTTTCTTTTGGGGGTGACCACTTGTGGGACAGATTTAGTGTAAGTTTAATTGCATCATGTGTTGTCAGTTGATCCTATTGATACATATTTACTAGCATTATTATGCATCTGGAGACAAATTTTTAGGGCTTAAGCACTGCAATAGGTGGGCCCAGGTCTGATGATCCTTCCTCTTTTTATTTTTGGTTATTCTTTCTTGGAAAAGTCCACCTCCAACGGTGGATTGGCGTGGATCTCTACTGATGTATTAAACCAAAAAAAGGGTCTCGAAAATGAAGGTGATATAAAACTTTTTCTCCTGTGAAATCAGAAAATGCTCGAAGAGTTACATCAACGTGCAATGGGATGCTCCTTTCACTTAGCATTGATAGAGTGAGAAACTACGTGAGATGAGAGTTAAAAAGAGATCTTTGTAATCTGTTGTGGTGTTTTTGTTTGAAACCAACTAAATTCCTACCCAACCAGATTATTTGAGTTGAAAGTTGAGTTGTGCACCATCCACCTAGCATGACAATCCATATCTTCAATTTAAGCACTTTTTATTCACTTTACTTTTATTCATTTGGTGCGCTCTAATATTATCACCAACCAGTGTCGATTATGGAGGGCCATATTTTGTTTTTATTTTTGTTTTTCACTTATATCAAAATCTAAGTATTTTAATCTGCATCCAGTAATATTCTCTTGCTTGTGATGGATGTCGTTTTTTTTAATGTGAACGACAGTTGCTGATTTCATGGTGTTGTAACTGCTGTTGGCAATCTTGAATTCTTGATCTTGCTCATTCTCTACAACTACACTTCAATATTATAACACCTCAATCTACCACTTGGTGTCAGGTGCTAGCCCCTAATTTTTTTGATGCTCAGCTATTGAGGCTTGCTTTTAAGATAGGTGATACTATCAACATTGTTGTAGTTTGTCGTTAACGTTATCAAGTGATGGTTCTTTTTTTCTTGTCTACATGGATTGCACTTTTATTATGACTTCCATAGTGGGTTTTTCTTAGGGGCAACAGATAGAAGCTGACGGTTATATTCCATTCTGCAGGTGTTTGTTTTATTCAGTGATGGTTTAATTTACATCCTATGCCCGGTTGTTCCTTTTGGAAGGTAATTTTCGATTCATATCATCTTGCCTCTCATTAATATTTAGTTGTGTATGTGTGCTAGATTCCAAGCTAATCCCTTTTTTGAGATAATGAACTACTCAAAACTTAATGTTTGCAAGTCTTCTGAATCTAAAAATATTTAAAGGAGGGACGTAAAAATGATGACACGTGGCATGACCCCCCCCCCGCCCCGCCCCCCCCCCCC